GTTATTGCACGACATCTGAACTTAAGGATAGAATAGAACACTCTTTTTCCCCAAGCGAATTATAAAACTGATTTAAAATGGATTCATAAGAGATATTTTCCGTGATTTTCTGTACGTACGTATGTATGTATCTCGCATAACTTAAACACGAATAGCCTCTCAGAACGTTGAAATTTTGTATATAGGACTGCTATAGCATGTAGTTGAGCACCTCCCTTTTTCCTTTTTGGTGGAAATCGGCCGCATCAATAGTCTATATATAGATATATAATTTGAATTTAACAAATATTCTCTATTCGTATAAAGCTAATTTAAAGTTGTATATAAATCAGCAGCTAAAAGCACTATTTTTGACTAACTTGGTGATTCGATTTTTAAATTCTTATTTACTACTCTTTACTCTCTCTCTCTCTCTCTCTCTGTATGTATATATATATATATATATATATAATATATATACCAACTTTGTTACTCGGCTCAGGGAGCTCAGTTTTTTTTTATTTTTATATGATGGTAAATTGTGTAGTTTTTGCTTTAAAAAGGATTGAATTATGTTCTTATCATCTTCCGGTTAAGGTTTTTATGCCTTAAGTTCATCTGCATGCAATAGTTGTAGAATTATCAAAAATTTAAAGCTTGTTTAAGTGCGGGAAAGCTTTTTTTTTTTTTTTTTTTTAGTCTAAAGGGGCTTTGTCTTTGAAGGACTATTGTTTTCGTTTTGCGATTTTGCGTCGATTCACTACAAACGGTGAAGCACTTTTCAAACTGCAGCCATAAAGTATTATCGCCCTGTCTTATATTTAAAGAAATTAAATAATGAAAAATCTGCATAAATATATGTAGAATTGGGATAGAACAATGGTACATAGAACCATCGAATTTTGAATGGCGTAGAATTTTTGATTAACAAACTCAAGGATTTCAAAGCGAGCAATGGCAACGTTGAACAGGAAAAAAAGAAAAAAAAAAAAAAAAAAAACCAGCTTTATCTCCAGCGCGTGAGTCTCTGTATCGGAAATTCTAAAGATAAAAATAAGCTCATTTTAAAACTATTTTGCGATATTGCTGTTGAACTAAATTTTATGGTTTAAGCGCAAAGAACATTTAATAAATAAAGGTAACACACAAAACGTTAAAAAAAACGCCCCTTATTTGAACGTAATTTCAAATTTGAAACATTTCAGGTTGGTGTTTTTTTTTTTTTTTTTTTTTTTTTTTTGTTTTGTTTTTGTTTTTGTTTTGTTTGGGGGTGTTACACCCCTCCATAGCAACCTATTTGTTTACTTTTAAAATTTAGAAAAATAGGGAATTAAGTCTTTCTGCACCTTTAGTGTCTTTTTTTAGTGAACAAAAAGGAAACTTTTAGTTTTGTGCACCAAAAAATCTGCCTTCTTGCCTGCTGCCCGAATTGCTTGTTTTTGCGTAGAAACTGAAATTTTAATTATATTTTTTTAATTGTTTTATCTGTATTTGGTGTTTCGTGTTTTTCTATATCTTTCAATTTTTATTAAAATATTTTGAGTTTTTATGTATTTTTGCCTTGCCGCGAAGAAAGAACTGAAATAATTGAATTAAAAATATAACTCTAATGAAATTCAAGGAAACAAGTTTAATTGAAATGCTGGAAAAATGCGTATAATTCAATATTCCGTACAAGTCATGTGGTGTACACATTAGACTTTTCATTTATGTTGATAAATTGCTCATTTTTTGCTCTAAAAGTGATTGAATTATGCTGTTCTTATGTTCCGGTTGAGAATTTTATGCCTTTAGTTAATCTGCATGCAATAGTTGTAGAACTGTCAACAGTTAAAACTTTCGAAGTGAAACTAAGTCTAAGAACGCCGCCATTTGTTTACATCTGAAATGAATTCAATCAGTTTGCGTACCAACTTTATTGCCGTTTTTGTGCACCGAAAAATCTGTCTTCCTGTGCTTTGGCCACATTACTTGTTTTTGCGTATTTTGCGTAGAAACTCTAATGTTAATTGTAAAAATTGTTTTTTTAACTGTTCTTAACAGTATTTGGTGTTTTATATTTTTCTCTATTTCACCATTTTTGACGAAGATGTTTTGACTTTTATTTTTACCCTGCCTTGAAGTGAGAATTGAATTAATTGAATGAGAAATATATCTCTAACGAAATTCGAGGAAATAAGGTTCAGTGAAAGATTAAAAAAAATGTGTATAATTTAATACGTCGTGCTATGAAGTCATATGTTTTCTACATCAGGATTTTGTTTTTACTTTTGAGTGCGTTTTTTGTTTTTTTCCCATAAATATGTTTTACTAAAATGCTTGGTTTGATTCACAAGACCATTAATCATACTTTTAAATTACATGTAAAAAACTGCTTATATTGATTAGAATACCATACATGTTTTATATTCAAAATAAAGAAAGAAGGAAAGCAAATAAACCATTAAGTGATGACCAATCATAACCCCAGATATGAAGGTGCCCTGAAAGCTAGAGAAATAAAAATGAATATAACTCACATTTAATTTTAAAAAGATAAATTGTTTCAGTTAAAATAATTGAAATGTCCTCTCAGGAAATAGAAAGCGATAGAATTCAGCGGGGAAAAAAAAGAAATGGATGAGTTACTTTTAGTGAGATGGGGCAGAACTTGAGGTAGGTTGAATTAACAACGAAAGGAAATGTCCTCTCAGGAAATAGAAAGCGATAGAATTCAGCGGGGAAAAAAAAGAAATGGATGAGTTACGTTTAGAAATGAGAGTGGGCAGATGTTACTTGAGCGTAAGGTTGAATTTACTTAACAACGAAAGGTAAAATTATTCCAGAATAAAACATCTGCAAATAATAAAATTTCTTTATGGAATTTTCGTCATATAATTACGACAGAATTTCGGAAGCTACCATAATTATTGTACAATCCTTTAAACAATAACAATACAACCTACTAAAGTACACTAAACGGTGCTATATTAACACACTCAGAACTTCAATATTTTTTTTTCAAACAGTAGCAAAATATCCATACAATAATATCTTACCGTTCTTACTTACCCATTATTTAACCTTTGAATATCGTCTGTTTATAGAAAGGCATCATGTAATTTAACCTGCTGCAAATCATGATCGTCGTCTCGAAATAAAGTGTAATAAAACCTCATCAGCATTTCTAATAGGATTATTTGCATAATTTTTCTTTAAAATATTTTTGAGAACTGGAATGAAATTCCATGTGGCTTTTAATCTAATCCATCATACTGCCTATATTGCCTATCAATCTCCTGGTGTTTGCTCCATTGAGTAACTAAAGTCCAAACAACATTTCGCTCTTATATATTATTAGGTTTTCGTATTTTTATTAGTAATATCTCTGTCTGATGTCATTTATCACTGACCTAACTCATACGATTTGCTACAAATGAAAGAAATGTTAAAATAATCTCTTTTTTTTATCCCAAAAGGGACGTTAGAACCGAATGGGATAATAACAGATAAATTCCGAAACGGCATTTTGCGTTGAATCATTGTAAACCAAGGATGTTAGAATAAATAGAGTAAGCCTCCTCAGTATATGCAATGAAAATAAAGCCATGGACACGTTATTTAAGACATCGTCACTCATTATGGCTGCTGCCATAAGCGAATTTCTGGTTGGTTTTGTTTACGCTCTAATCGGTGTTCTCTCTATATTAGCTTTACATCATTGAACGTTTGTAAGCATACCGTTATAATTTCTATGCTTAATATAACTGATTTTCTACTTTAGTATATAGAAAAATCACAAGGACTGGAAATAAATGTTTCAAATTTAATCAAAATCTAGGTACACGATAATGTGCAAATGGTAACTATAAGAGGAATGTATACATAATAAAACTTAGAAGAGCAATGAAAGTTTCAATGGTATTTTATGAAAATTATGCCTGCATACATTTTTCTCAACCTGCGGACATTGATTTTTGCTCTCAAATTTAATGTAATTTTATTTAACAATATATTTCGAAATCTCACTCGTGCGTTGTACGGAAACCATGATAAGCCATCTTGTTGACATTTTCAAGGCGGATGACTTATCAGATTGTTGCTGCCAAATATTATCGTCCGGTATTACATTTAAAGCAGCTCAATAATGAATAATCTGCATGAATTTATGCATGTTCCTCTCATTGTGAAAAACAGCGGTACCTAGAGTTATCAAATATTGAATAACTCCTCCGCACGATCATGGGCACCTGCAAGCCGGAATTTCGAATTTCAAATTTTTTTTACCATTTATTTCATATTTTGTAAAACTTTAAAGAATTTCAAACTCAACTATTTTAAAGCGAGCACTGACGACACTGCATAGAAAAAAAAAAGAGAAAAAAAAAAATTTATCTCCAACGTGCGACACCCTCTATCGAAAATTCTAAACATATGCTGTTTTTAAATATTTTGTGATTTTGCTGTTGAATAGAATTTTATGTAGGGCAAGCGCCAAGAACGTGATATTTATTAAATAAAGTAAGCACACGAAATGTTAATAATAAAAAGACAAAAGAAAGTTTTGTAAAGTCCTCTTAGTAAGAAAACTAAACAGTGATATGATGAACTGAGAAAAGATTGAAAAGAAACAGAAAAATGTATGCAAACACTTTGTGCTGCATCGGGATTTCTAAACGTATACTGCTATGCTGCTTTTAATTTTTTTATAATTTTGCTGTTGAATTGTATATGGCATAAGTGCAACTAAAATTATGCTTAATAATAAAGCTAAAAAGACCCCAAAAAATGGGTTAGTAGGAGTAGAGCATACTGATAGACTGCAAGCTCAGCGGAAGGTTAAAAAACCTTAACAAGCTTTTTTGGGCGACCGTTAAAATCTGATCTCTTTTTTAGATTTAGTATTTCTTTGTTATGCCAGCTCTCAACCATATTTGGTGATTTTAGATTTTACCAAGATCTTATCTATAATTTCGCCAAGTTCGTGAAGCGTGAATATAAAATTACACAACACAATATAAAATAATAACAATAATACTCACATGTCGTATATTAATAACGTATATATTCTAAGAATATTTTTAAGAATCCTTATCCTTATCTTTCTTCTTTTTTTCGCATATATAATTGTTCCAATCAACGGCAGCACTTTCACACATATTAAGTTGTTCGTTATACCAGCTCCTCTGTCCAAAAACACATAAATCTAATAGCAGTGACGAACGGTCTTACGGAACCGCTGAACCAGTTTCCAGTACGAAGGCCCTTCTTCTCTCGCTTTTTTTAACATTGCACCTCAAAATGGTTTCGTCTTTAACATAAAGTTGCATGTTGTGGCCGTTTTCGTATACTCGTTTTTCAGGAAAAAAAACTCTTTCTTGAAAAAATGGTATGGCATCACCTCATTATTTGGTAAATTAAAGATTTTTAACATCATGTTCACAAACCAAAAAAAAAAAAAAAGAAAAAGAAAAAGAAGAAGAAGAAGCAATGAGTTTATTTTTTTAAATAAGCAAAATGCGAATTCGTAAACCTCATCAAAAATGAATAATATAAGAACACACAGCGACAGCTCAAGTGCAACACGGTGTTAACATACGATTACGTGGCGAGGTATAAGAACATGTAGCCAGATCTTGGCGAGATATCTCGGTTGATTGGCGATTCAATCTCGGGGGCTGCTGAAACACACAAGTACCTCAGATTTTTATTTTAAAGTTTGCTCTACATGAAAAGCAAAAAAGGAGAACATGCAGTGAATGCTGATTATGTCACAGTATTTAGAAATACTTTTTTATTTATTTTCAATTCGATAAAGGGGAGAAAAAGAACAATTTCACTTTTATTATTTTTAAAATCTGAAAAATAATGGAGTTACCCCTTCACAAAAGATTAATAGTTTTTAGAAATAATATGGGAGGCGCTATGCATTCCCCCTCTCAGTGAAAACGATTAGAAGATATAATCTTTTAAAACAGGCGAAAACCTGACAGTTCTTTCACTGTGTGTAATAGCGTAGAGATCGTTCGTAGGCGAGATTTCCTTCTGAGGTTGGCACTGGGGCGGTGAGCATACATCATCCTTCGACATAGGAGTTTCCATACAAAAATATGCGAGCAATTCGAAAGTTGCTTTGAAACAAAGACGGCTTTATTGGTATGAGTAGTCATCGCAGAAGATTTCATGCCTCGTATAACAGTTTATAACCTCTGAACAAAATCTGATTGCGTGATATTAGGAATCTTGATAATAAACTCTCCAAGTAAACAGAGAAGACTTCCGTAAAGAAACTCAGCTAGTATTCTATATCTTCTTCCATAGCAGTGCGTAATCCAAGAAGAACAAATGGTAAAGGGTCTATCCAATACTTGTTTCGCTGAAAATGCATTTCAAACATTCATAGTTCTGTGCTGTCTGCTCAATTAATCCATTCGATTGTGGATTGTACGCAGTAGTCCTAGTGGTCTGAAAGTCAAAATATTTGCTCAAAGATAAGAAAAGATGATCTTTCAAACTGTCGTCTTTGTTCAAAAGTATACGATGAGGCGTCCCAAAATTACATAGCCAGCTTGAAATCATGCCCTTTGCAAATGCATCTGCCGATTGATTTGTTATATGAAGTGCTTCAACCCATCTTGAAAAACGATCAGTCATTATTAACAAATCCCTGAAACCTTTACGTGTAGGTAACGGGCGAACAGTATCAATGTGGACATGGTCAAAACTCTCCGGTGGAACTTTAAATCCATTAGAGCTGACTGCGTATGCCTTTGAACTTTATATCATTGGCATTCCTGTAATAGCCGTTTTCAGAATGTCGGCTTCGTACTTGAATTTGTTGATAAGCTTTAATTAGGTATATGGATTCAAAATTTTCTTTGCGTGAAGAATTGAACCACAGTCAGGAAGAAATAGTAGAGTACCGCGATTTGGAATTGTAGCATTGTTTTTTGCTTCTAACTCTTCCTTTGCCTGATTTTGCATTATCCTTAAGGACATGAGTGTAAATACATTTATTTTTCAGATTTGATTTTGTATTCTCGTCTATGTTTAAGTTATCGCCGCAAGTGAACGGTGTTTTTGTAACGCACGAAGCCCGTGCTGTCGTTATTTTAGTTTGATTTAATAAAGGTTATTTTGCAGCCTTCTTCTGTTCTGGTATTTATTTGACGCCTGTGTGAGAATTCGCCAGGTTCATTGTAGGATCTAAGTCAGTGGATGTGGAAAAGTAGAGATAGATCTTACAACCTTTCCCTAAAATCTACACTTTTAATATTATTTAAATATAGAGAGAAACACGCTTTATAAATCCTTCGTTCATGAGATATATTATTTAAGGATTTTAACTTCTTAGTTCAAGACAAGCTTATTAAAATGCACTTTTCTTAACATAATGACTTAATACAACATTTCATTTTAAACTTGAAGAACCGAAGCTATTTCATTCAGGACTCTGGCTGGAATTACAATTTCTCTAAAATTGACGGGCTCCGGCTCAATTTAAGCTGTGCTTCCGGGATAACTAGGGGTGAAGATATACAGCGTTAAATGCAAAAGCGTATGAACCCGGGCTCTCGCTCAATTTAAGCTGTGCTTCCGGGATGACCAGGGCTGAAGATATACAGTGATAATGCAAAAGCATATGAACCCGTTTACGCAAAATATTTTTGAAACCTCATTCCGAGATGGGATGAACCACGCATTGCTACTCAAAGGGAGTGTTTCGAAGAAGATGATGTACAAACTTAGAAATAAGATTCTTTTCTTTCAATACAGGTAATTCAGAAACTTCTGACGCACCTTTGTATGCGCAATGCGATTACGTTAAATGTAATGTTAACATGTTCTGCCCCTATTCTTGTGTATCATGACTACATGTCTGCCTGTACTAATCTTGCCAGTGTTGCTCTAGTTTCCTGGCTTGCTGCGCTCTAAAGATAGCCATTAATTCATCAAGGTTCTTTAAGACCACCCTATATGCAATTTTTACCTGAAAGAAAGTATTTTAAAAATCAGTTCCACTCAAGCAAAATCTGAAGTAAATAATTTATTAAATAAAAATTGAAAGTAGTAAATTAAAACTTTTTATACATGTTCCCATTCGGAAACTTCGAAAAATAACTGTTTTGAATGTGAAAATTTCTTTAATTTTGTTATTACTTTTTGTTGCATATATATTTTATTTGGAAAATGTAACATTTATTTGGATTGATATGTAATAATAAATTATCATTTCACAATAATGCCTTAATAAAAAGATGCTTTATTTGGTAAAAGTATGACTAAAATAAATCTTTTCCATTTCTCATTATCCTCATAAACCCATAAATTTGTGATGCCATAAAAACTTTCTTATTCGCCTTGAAACTGTTCGTATCTCATATCGCTACGGCCTAAAGAATAACTCTAGACCTTGTGCTGCCATCTGTTAGAGCAAATTAAAACTAATTTTACAACCTGCATGTATATTTTATCGTTGCTATGCAATAAATGCTGTTGCTGTTAAATTGCTACACACAAAGTACTGTCTTGTTACCATAGCATTTCCGTATGCTGTTCCTCTTAATTTAAACTCAACATCATATATAATGAATGAACAATTCTCTAGAAATGATGAATTGAGAAAATAATTATAATTTATTTGTTTATGAAATTCTTTATGAAATTTATGACATCATATCTGAGAGGATATTACCATATTGAGGAAAAAGAATTTCCACAATAAGGATTTCACGCTTATGCTCAAATAACCGTACGAGGGCAATTCGGGGAAGGAGTGTTTAATTAACTACACAAGTATCCCCAAAGTTCAAGTAAAACAATTCATACGAAAGTTTGCTTTTCATAAAGCAATCTTTCGTATGAATGGCTTTACTCCCTTATATAAAAAATTTATATGAAAGGCTTGTATGAACGGCTTTACTCGCTTATCTTTTTCCTTATATGAAAGAGCTATAGTTGTACGCTGCCGCTCATAGGGTATAGTGGTTAGGAGAGCCGACTGCGATACCAAAGAATATGGATTCGAATCCCGGAGAAGGCATGGTTGTAGTTCTCCGTTTCTTCATAGGAGGCAAAGGGGGCACCACCTATTAGATAACCCCATAATAAATTGACCATCGCTTCTGGTACTTAGCAGTGGGCAGTGTTTATATGATGACTTGTGCCCGCCACTGAAAAAAAAGAAAAAGAAAAATATTTGTACACTTTTCGATTAACGCTAGAGACTCAAAAGGAACTTCCGTTTCCATGGGGAAAAAGACGACAGTAAAAAATATCGTTCAGATTTGCTGTATGCATGACTTCAGAATAGTAGGACTTAAATTGGGAAAATGCATAGAAGTTCAGAGCATTTTTGTCGAATGAATTATCAATTTTTTTGTTTCTTTACAGCAAAAATTTTCCAGCCTAAATAATTACGTATACTGTTGTATTCCTAGTTTTGTACATCAGCCAAATTTCATGAAAAAAGTATGCTCGACGTTTCGATGTTGTATCAAGTTGGCATAATAAAAGCTGTAGACGTAGTGACCAGACTGATACAAGCAACATTCATAGATTAATAAACTGTATTCTTTATTTCTTTCTTACATCCTTACTGACTATGAAATCTTCAAAGGTCTGCTTCGTACCAGCGACATTAGCATAGCCTTTAAATTTTCTAATGTGCTTCTTTTTTGTCTGCTTTAGAGGCTGATCTACATGTCATTCTTATTTATAATTGACTGCATATTTAAGATACCCATTTTCGTTTCGTGCTATTTTAATTTAAGTGCCATTTCGTATAATTTGATAATTCTCCAAAAAACATAGGAATCTTTAGAAACCTTTTCTAAACATATTCATTGCAACTGTGTCTTCGCTTCGTACCATTTCAATTTGCTGAAGGCAAACAGAAACGCTGTACAGTGTACCCTCGATTATCCGGACTAATGCCGGAGAAGCAGATCGCGGATAGCTGAAAATCCAAACTATCAATTTTCGCGCATATTTTAGGTATAAAAAATCATTCATTACTTTATTTTTAGAGCTTTTAAATATTTATTGAATTTCACTGCGTATTTTTCAAAGTAATATTTTATCTTTTATTCGAACCCCCTGTGGACGAAAAAGTCCAGTAGTGTTTCAACGGAAGTCATTGCTGTCTTGGGATTAATGTCATTGCCAGTATCTTCTTCGCTTGTATTTTCAGTGTCACTCTCTACCTCTTCTGTTCCAGTGACATTTGAAAGGATATCCGCATCACTAAAGCACTGAAAATCGGGTTCAGTCGAATCGCTATAGAACCATTCCTCGATGTTTTCGCAATCGATACTTTCGAAGAAATTTACATTTTCAATCTTTTGGCATGCAACTTCAGTTATTACTACGAATTCTTTACAATTTGATAAATGCCCAATTTCTACATTAAGAAGAATCTTCCTTCAACCATAAAGCATAATCCTAATACAAATAATTTCACAAAAATAACTAAGAATTAGACTAAGAATATAAACAAATGTTTTGAATAATTTGGTTTATTAGTTTTCCCTTTTCTTATTTTTTTATTAGTCCAAACGGGTTTTGTCCTTGAAGGACTATTGTTTTCGTTTTGGGATTTTGCGATGAAAACTTTAAAAGGCTCTATCACTTTTCAAATAGTTGCGACCAAATACTATCCCCCTGTATATATATGTTAAATGTATTATAGTTGAAGAAATTAAATAATGAAGCATCTGCATAAATGTATATATGTTTCTTGCATTGCGCATTGTGATAAAACAACGGTACCTAGAGCCATCCAATTGTGAATGGCGTAATCCTACTGCGAATATGGTATTATGGGGAAAGCCCAAATTTAAAATTCGGAATTTCTTTTATTATTGATTTCATATTTTGTAAAACTTTAGCGAAATTTTGCTTAACAAATTCAATGATTTAAAAGCAAGTAATGGCAACACTCTACGGGCGGGGGGAGGGAAACTTTTTATCTCCAGCGTGCGGAACTGTGTACAAAGAACATGATATTTAATAATTAAAGGTAACACGCAAACGTTAATAAAACAACCGCTTTGGACGTAATTTAAAATCTGAAACTTTTCAGATTTTTTATTATTATTATTATTTTCGATTTTACAAATCTAATTGTGTTTCAGTGTACTTATCAACTATGAACAAAAAGGCACGTACTTCGCGCTTTACAATAACACCGACAAGTTTTGTACACCGAAAGATCTCCCTTCTTGCCCGCTGGCCGAATTGCTTATTTTTGCATAGAAACTGTAACTTTAATTGTAAAAATTGTTTTTTTAATTGCTTTAACTGCATTTGTTGTTTTATGTTTTTCTACATCTTTCAAATTTTAATGAAAATATTTTGAATAAGTATTAAATTAACCATTAAATTCCTTCGATACAGATAAATCCAATTTAAATTAATGTTCTAGAGCTTCACAGAAATATACACTACTGAATTTATTGCAAATGAATAGCAGTATGTTATTTCAACATTCACGTTGCAAATTAACTGCAATAAAGGCAAAAATTATAACTCATATGAATTTTGTAATAATATAATGTTTTAGACTCGGCATCATTCACATATTTCTGAGCCAAATAATGCATTTTTAAGTCCTTACCTTTGTATATTTTTAATATCCTAATATAATTAGCAAAAGAAAATTCTGCATGAAAAATAATATTTTATTACAACAACATTGTCCTGAGCATATACATTTAACATATAATATTCTTCAGAAATTAATAAAAATTAGTTCTATGAGAAACATATACAATTATTATTACTAATTTATTTGCATAAATTAGCACTGAACAGAACTCTCCTGATTTGCTCTAAAACTTAGTTACATGACTCCAATTTTTAATTTAGACCAATAATCTCATAGCATTTACTGTATATTCATGCAGCACTGATTTTTAATTTTTGAGCAATTGCAATCGATCATTAACACAAGAGAGAAAAATAAATAATGTATCTTACTAAACAGATATGTGATATGCAGTGCATTACATTCCATTGAAATATTTTAACTGAAAACATTAACTATACTTTTACGATAGCTTCTAAAGACGGTAACGCAAATGTTATGCCTAAAGAGAATCAGCAGCATTCTAAAGCACAGTAATGCCACTTTTACAATTGATACATGAATATAAAATTTGACGAGAAATTTCTAGACAAGTGAAGAAATGAAAATTATACCTAAATACAGGGTGGTTGCAATTAAAATTCCACTTCGAAATGGTCATAAAAGGAAAACTACAGGACCAAATGTTATCAAACTTGGTAATCATACATATAATATTGCATAAAAATTTATTTTCCTCAAAAACAAAAAGTTCAAAAACTCACCATCAGGGGAGAACTGGGGCTGAATGCAATATTGTTAAACGAAACAGGACATGAAGACATCGGTTTAAAACGTGTTTAATCGTTTCTGAAATATATACCAAAGCATGTACAATGTGGCGTCCCCCATGTTATACTTGATTCCTAGATAAATAATCAGTGATTGATCTATGATCATCCGCATTAGAGAAAATGTTTTAGAAATTCTCCCGAAATTCTGGCAGTAAACGAAGTAAAAGTTTCCGCAACCAGTTTCTTTATATATTCACTAAATTTTAATGGGGAAATTACCATAATGGGTTTGATTCTAGCCGCATTGGGAGCTGCCGCCACCGTAAGGAAATTGCTTTGATTCATAATTTGAGCAGTATCTGTATTACCTTTACAAATTTATTACTAACATCTACATCCAAAAATTTTCTACTAAATTTGTTAAGTCGAACAGTTTCTTTAGGGAAGTGAAACCATCCTTATATACTTATCTTGCACCTCCTGAGTGTGCTTTTTAGACTTATTACCATTTACATAATTTTTTTGAAATACTAGAAAGTAATTTACCTAAATCAGAACTACCACTAGTTTTAACATCAGAATGCAACACATTTTTTGTCATGAACATCCTTTCTAGTACTGGAT